AGATAACTCTTAGTCTGACTAAAATCGAAAATAAATGTAACCCCCTTTCATATAATTTTTTTTAATCGCATCTACAAAATTCTCGAATTGTCTCAAAGACGACAGAACGTCTAGGATTCCAGACCTCGCGAATGCCTGCCAGTCTCGAAAACTATCGCGACAGGCAGGTCAGAAAGGAGCCAGTGATCGGGGCTCGCCCGTAACAGTATCACGTGAATTTGGTTTCAAAAATACAGCCCTATTATAGTAAATGTTTTATCAGTCTTCTGAGAAATACCGTGAGAAAAAAAAAGTAGGCATAAGGCAAATAAAAATATATAGTCTGAAAAAATAATAACCCGCATAATTTCTACTAAAATTTTTATTTTTGTCTGTATTATTTTGTAAATTCACTTTGTCTGAGCTCAAGGGGGGGGGGGGTTAAACCCTTAAACTCCCCCTTGCGTAAGCCCCTGAATGTTATAATGTGTAGTTTATTGCAACAGTTTAGTAACTTGAAAGAAAAAGTGATAATCACAATAATATTTTTTCATTTAATAATTATCTTTATTTTAAGAATATATTAAAAAAAAAACAATGAGCATCAAATATATTGAAAAACTAAGAGCCTGTTTAGTTATGAAGGCTAAGCATTCTTATAATGTATTTTCATAAAGATGCAAAAAGTCATCTTCTGGAATATTTCAATGATTTATATTTTTCTTTTTCCATAAAAACAACTTAATTTACACAATTATAAACGACCTTTATAATTGCGCAGAAATTTTTTTTTATTTTGCTTGAAAATCTCTAGGTACTTCTCAGATTGCGATTACCCCCTAAATTTTGGGATTCAGAAATCCAAATCCGTCGAAGGAATGGCATGTATAAACAGAAACTTCAGAGGAAGTACGTTTTAGTATCTGATTTCGTAACCTAAAATATCATACCTGCACCTATTAATTATCATATTTTAAGTCACCACTTGAACCATTGAGATAAGAAGAAAGTGAAGATCTGATCATTAGATCAAAAGTAATCAGGATGGTCCGTTTATTTTTTTTGCGCACTGAATGTCTAAAAATTTATAATTCAAATTTGTTTAATATTTTGCTTTATTTTTAATTTATTCCATTGTGATGCGAAGAGAATTTTTCATTATTTGTTTTTTTTTAATTAAATATGCTAGAATGTATTCTGATCTATTTCTTTACTTTTTACCTTTTTTTTACTGTTAGCAAAAGAATTATTTCTAGATATTCTTAAAACTAATCGTCAACTTTCCCTAATTTATTTCTCAATAAAGAATGTATTATTGTCGCTATTAAGTCTTGTTTTGTATGTAATTGTGTGTATATTTTTCTTATTATCTGTTATATAATGATTGTAAAACGTAATTATATTAAGAGCATCGGTTTTTTTATTTTATCAGGGCTGATTGTGCTCCGGAAAAAATCCGGATTTCCGGAATTTTCTCTAACAGTGATCCGGAAGTTTCCGGAGTTCGAAGATCCAGACGTTTCAAAAAATCATTGATCACAGAAGTTTCCGGAAATCAAATTTTCAAAGGTGGAACTTAAAAACACAGTTTATTTAATTTGTATGTAAGAGAGAGCCAGAGAGATATTTTATAAGCTTATATTCATGATTAATATTCATTTTTTATTTGTAAATAGTTGTTATAATCATAAACTCAAGAAAGAAAGACATATTAGTAAATTTTAATTACTTCTCCAGGTCATCATAGGTTAGTGTAAAATTTTAAATATATTTTAAGTAAACTAAGAAATATTGAGAAAAAGGAAAAAAACCTTGTTTAAATTTTTTTCTAAAGAAATTTTCCGGAATTTTGACTTGGGCTCACAATCACCCCTGTTTTATTGAACTGTAAATAAACTAATCAAAATATATCGTTTGGTTGTAGCTATTTTATTCGTAATTATCATAACAAATCGTAATTATTTACACCGTACTCTTTAATGAATTTATTATATCGCGATGATTTTATTGTTTTGATGTTAGCAAAGCGTTCAGTTTTAATTTTGAAAATGTTGGGTAATCATCTGGTTATGTTATAGTTCTTCTGTAACTCAGAGCTACATTTGTTGTGTGTACGTAATTTTGTTACCAAATTATAAAATATAATTGTACTTAATTAAACAACTTAGAATTTTTATTGACAATTGAAAAAACGCAATAGAATCTTCTATAAATATGATAAAAAAGGTATTTTAATTTCTTACCGATGAGTATTTTGAATACACGTGAATGCATAACAATTAAAAAGAGATAATTTTATTGCTATATTTAATATTTATTTATTTATCAATTAGTTTTTTTTTTTTTAAATTCACTTCAATCTTTTTGTGATATTGTCAAAAGAGTTAAATACTTCAAACAATGCTTTTATTTTGTATTGGATAAAAAAAAAAGAATATTAATATTTAAGGAAGGGCGCCAGTAAGAGATTTGCCATAGGAGCTTCTTTCCATAGATAAGCCTCTGCAGCAGATCACAAGGATGTTGAAGAAGCATTACTGAAGTGATTCACCAATCGAAGAAGCCGCAATCTTCCAGTATCTGGACAAATGTCGATGAATTTGCTAAGCGATTTTATGAGACTACTTTTATGTGCTCGAATTGCAGGTTGGACAGCAGGGTTGGCAGGTTTTTGACATGTGACAGTTTTTGACAGTTTAAACCATGGTTTAAACCGTCACGTCAAAAACCTCACTGTCGAAAATGTCAAAAACCTATATTCATATGTGAAATTTAATTAATGCATAAAATTTATATATTTTTTTATAAAGGATAGTGTTTCTAAATATGTTCTAGAAAAAATAAATTAAAAATTTTGAAGAAACACTTATATTTTGAATAGTAACCAAAATCTTGTACTTTTGAAAACTCACATCTTTTGTAATATTATGTATTCATTTTCATGTGTTATTGAAAATCTGCAGTGATATTATTAAGAAATTTATTTATAACCAAATTTAGTGTATAGTATAGATTATACTAAAAATTAGACATTTTTAAAGATAAACATTAGCAGTTTTGTACATTAGACATCTTCTTTTAAAGAAAAATCTTTTTAATATTCTTTTAAATCTTCTTAATAATCTTTTTAACATAAGACAATACAAATTTAAGTGCTTTCTGTTAAATACACAGAGTAGTTAGTGTCGATTTACAGTATATTCAGCCTATTCATTTACTATGCTGAAAATTTAGTTTATCCAAATACTTGTGAATTTCATTTTGCTGAATACTATATAGTTTTGTTGAATATCTAAATATTCAGCTGTTGAATAATTACTTCTTGCTTTCAAGATATGCATTATTTGTATTCTTAATACAAGTGGAGAAAAAAAAATTAAGAGATAAAAATTGTTTTAAAATGATAAGTGTAATAATTATAAATAAATATAATAAACAATATGAATTATATTTATCATTATTCATAAATATAACTACTTTTAAATTCAAATTAACATACTGGATAATAAAGATATTCGGTATAACATTAAAATTTTTTTTCATACACTTGTATCAAGTTTGTATTTATACAACATAACTTGTAAGTTCCTTATAAATATTAGTTATATGTTCCTTATATGTCAAAAATGCATAGTAATAAACTTTTAATTTTCTTAAGTATCAAAAAAAAAATTTTTTTTTTAAATATAAATATTTAAACAATTTTTGTGCAAAATTTTTCTGCACATGCATTTGAATATAAATTTCTGAGATTTTAAATCTGTTATTTTACCTTAATTTTAATTAAAAAATATTTTAAAACCTGCTGATTACCTATAGTATAATTAAATTTCAATATAATGCATGGCAACTGTTGGTAGTTTTGAAGTTTATATATTTTCTTGGCAAACTTCAGTTTTTGACATTTTTGACGGTTTAAACCAGTATTATACCCTTGTCATGTCAAAAACCACTTTTTGACGTCAAAAACCCAACCCTGTTGGACAGGTTTAAAAAGCTGAATAACAGAAATTCATAAAAAATTATCTGCGAGTCGGGAAGTGTTTCCATAACTGATGTTGAGGATTGCTCATCAGTTAAAGATTACTAATTTTTTTTTTGTACGCAAGACGAAAATTAATTAAAAATAGCACATTTTATGCTAATGCATAATATTTTTCAGTCATTTATTTGAATAATGTGCAATAAAAGGGGGAGTTTGGGAACCAATAGTTAAATTGCCTGCGTAACGGATATAGTGAACTCCCGGTTATAGTGAACAGAAATTTCGGTCCCTTGAAAGTTCACTATAGCGGGGTTTGACTGTACAAATAAATTGGAAAATAAATAAAATACTTATTGTTGGAATTTGAATTGAAATGTGCAACCAGACATTAATGCTTTAGTCCAAAGTTGGTAAATAGTTCATAGCTCAGTAATTTCCATAAACAAATCGTTTATTCATTTTTGAACTTAAATTCCAGCATGCTGATAGGAAAATGATCCAACACAAATTGAAAAGTAATGGTACTGAACACACTCAAAATATTTAGAAAATAGAAATAAAATACTTGAATTTCCTAACACACAATTGTGACAAATTAAATAACCAATTAAGATCTCTGCACAAAGGTTACTTTAAAGGAAAAATATCCAAACTAAAATTTAAAAAAAAAAAATTAATAATTATGTCCAAAGAGAAAGATATAAATATAGAAAAAGAAATAAAAAGTAATTTGCAACATAACCAAACTCGCACTTCAGATTAAAAATAAGGAAAATAGCTAGATCAGTCAAAAATTAAAAACTGATTTACCTTAATACCATATTAAATTTGAAAGCTTGTTTTGGATTTCAATTAATCTGAGAAGACTGATCACCTTTTCAGATTATAAAAGCAATTTGTCTTTACATATTTCCTGAAATCCGGGTTAATAATTGCAATAAAAATACCAAGAAAGGAAATAAAAGTATACAAAAATAGAGAAAGTGGAAAGTAAAGAAAAATGAAAGAAAGAAACGAAACAGAAAGGAAAAAATGTTGCAGAAGGCAAATTTTGGACATAAGGAAGGGAAAAAAAATTCCGGATATTTTGCTATTGAAGTGATAAATATAAAAGGTAAATAATAGATAAAGTGAAATAAAGACTTCAGAATAACAACCACTGTGTCATTTTTTTTTTCAAACAAAGTAAACAATACTCAAGTCTTTTCCTGTAAGACTGTTTTTGGTATTTTGTGTCTTACATTTTAACTTACACATTTAAAAAAATGTTTATTATTTTTTGTCATGATTGAAGAGTTAACTTAAATTGTGTTATTATGAAGAATACTTCTTATAGTGAAAAAACTGTAATGTGATCTTTAAACAAAATACTTTTAAAACTGTTTTAAGTCAAAAAAAACTTGAAAATGAAAATTTTAAATTTGCTGATAATGCTACTACAGATTTTTGATTGTGTTAAAATTTTTACAATTAAAACATATGTAAATGTTTTATAATTCATATTACTTTATATATTGTTAAAATTACTAATTTTATTGTTTTCATTTTAATTATACCATAGGGAAGATTTTGCAAATGGATAATTTTTAAAATTTTTGGATTGTAATTTAGCACTTTTGGCGAGGGGGGATGTAACATAAAAAGCTTCATTTAATCTTTTTACGTTATCCTAATTAATTATTCTAATCGAAATACTTTCTCACACTTTTAAAAGCCACATCATGTTCTTGAATCTATTTTTGGCTCAAGTATGCATTTAATTAAGAGCAGGACATTCTTCCCTTTGCTCTGTGTGGGAAACGTTCGATCTATTTCATAAACCAATAACAACTACTAAGATTTCCCTAAATTAAGACATTTTACTGTGCAAGATTTTCCCTAGCATGTAACCAAGGAGCACAACTTTTCGTGTTCACCTTTTACACTTTCTCATGACTGCACTATCTAATAATTAATAAATAAATTTTGTACCCTCCTTCCCGACTTAAGACCTGTTTTAATCCTTCCACTCGGCAANTACAAAAAAAATTTGTAGTTACCCCCATAGACAGAGCTAACAATAATTATGCAATCTTCTGTAAAAAATTCTATGTCGAACATTTAACTTCGTAACTTAAATAATATTGTCATTAAAAATTTTTAGCTTTATATAAGAGGTTAAAAATTAAAATTAGCAATATACACTTTCCTTACTTAATTATCAGTGGGTCTAATACTTGCCTAATTAAACTTGGCACCTTTTTCTCTAACTACTTAAATAAAATTATTAACAATATTATTAAAGAAGGTTTTTCTTGGATTATCACTAATAATCAACCGATTTTGGAATTTATTAAACACAATAAAATTAACTCTATGGCCACTTTTGATTTCCAAGACCTGTGAAGCCTCAGGTTTTGCATCCAAGGAAATATTTATTCAAATACAAAAATAATCGTGTATGTAGCTCTTTTTTGTTTCATTTTTTTGTATTTTGTGAATATAATGTAGC